TATATATATATGTATTATAATTTTTAGTGGGTTGGTTCCATTGATATGCATCCAAACGAGCAAGCAGATGCAAATATGATTGTAAAACCTGATAATAATTGGCAGCAGCAGGTAATTTTTTGTTGCTTACATTTTTATTATGAATATTTTTATCATAAGCGATAGACATTAATTAATTACTTGTTTAACAGCAAACGGAGATCTTGACTCAAGTTAAAGATATATTGAAAAACGAAAAAGTTGATGGCATTATTTGTGTGGCTGGGGGATGGGCTGGTGGTAATGCAGCGCATAAAGATTTCGTGAAAAACAGCGACTTGATGTGGAAACAAAGCGTTTGGAGTTCCATTATAGCTGCCAGTATTGCGGCTGAATATCTGAAGGAAGGAGGATTTCTTTCTTTGACTGGTGCTAAACCTGCGTTAGAAGGAACACCAGGTTTCTTTGCTGAACGATAAAATATGTATTGTAGATCTCTTTATATTTCGCTAAAAGGTCGATTCCGCTTGATTATTAGGTATGATCGGCTATGGTATGGCAAAAGCAGCTGTTCATCAGTTGACGAGATCTTTGGCGGCTAAAGATAGCGGTCTTCCTTCCAACAGTTTGGTAGCTTGCATACTACCTGTTACTTTAGATACGCCAATGAACAGGAAATGGATGCCAAAAGCTGATACAAGCACATGGACTCCACTCGAGTTTGTGTCCAAGTAAGATGAAAAAACGTTTACAATTTTCTCAAATTAATATTTTATGATTTCTATTACAAAAAAATCATATCTTTGTTTATAGTTTATTCTGGAAATGGTCGCAAAATCAGGATCGGCCTGCTAACGGTTCTCTCATGCATCTCATTACTAAGGATAATAAAACGGATCTGATCACGGCTTAAAGATATCAAATGAATAAAAATTCATGGGAACAAAAGTCTTGAAGCATTTATGACAATATAATATACCTCGTTATTACAATAGATATATCTCGTTTATTGTTATATAAAGAAGGAGATATGTTTAAGGATGGCAAGTCCTTCGAAAGTTTTATTTTTGTATCAATAAGAACCAATCTTTTTAATATTTTTAAACGTATATTCCAACATTATATATTTTTGTATGTTATTGTATACATAAATCGTTTAATTATTTAAAGAAACGGATAATTCTTATGTCTGTGTGTATATTGCATATCTGTTATTGTGGATGTGTAGACTATATATACATATACTGTATTAAATGTTGCAAAAACAAAAAAAAAGATCACTTAAAGCATTATGAATTGTCTCTCTTGTAGATTTTTTTCTCCTCGTTGAACTTCACAAGTATCAAATGTGGTTTTTTATTCTCAATTCTCAAAAATTTCTTTTTTATCAAATAAATTTTAATATTTTAATATATCTTGCAGTATCACTTAAAAAATATTCAATATTGAATATTAAAAATTATAATCATAAATTGTCTTGAAAAGTTTTATAATTTATTATTAATTTTAAAATATTCATATTTTTAAGTAAAAAAATTATTAGGTTTTTAATATCAAGATAAATACTTATATTCACAGTAACTAACACATTTAAAAAAAAGCAAGCTATAAGCCCGGATAGCTCAGTCGGTAGAGCATCAGACTTTTAATCTGAGGGTCCAGGGTTCGAGTCCCTGTTCGGGCGATTTTTTTTTTACTCGGAAAGGGGATAATATATTCTGCAGTAATTCGATAAATTACATTTAACTGTAATTTATAATATATCAAGTTTTACTAGAACATATTTACCATAAAATCTCTACTTTTCATACATGTTTTGCAGATTGTTATATATAATTTATATTTTTACAGATTTTTTTTTATTATTTTTATACAATGAAAGAATTCATATTATCTGTGACTGTGACAATGATGTAAAGCAGCAAGTCGACAAATTCTATAATACATATAAATCATTCAGTATTTCGCTTGTGTGACATACATTATACACATATATATATATATATATTATATACTAACGCCAAACAAATTATGTTTATGTTGCCTTGGATGGAGTGAACCACTCATCAAGCATTTTTTGTTCCACTGAAAAAAAAAGAAAAATTCAAATTTATGATATATTTTCAAACTAAATAACATATTTATATAATTTACATATTTTTATACATAATCTCTAAACATTTTCTAAACAATGAGATTCAAGATTATGAAATAAAAGATTCGTAAGCAAAAATTAAGATTAGAGCATAAATAAAATATAATAAGAGTGTCAGAATTTTAAAAGATTTAAAAAATTTTCCATTTCTTTCTGCTGTTCTAATTTGTGCTTCTTAAAAGGTTTATTTATGTTTTTGTTATTCTTCCTTTATATTTGACATATGCTCAGATTTTTATTCTTATTAGAAATCTTAAGATATTTTTATATTTATGTATGCAATCAAGTAATGTACCTATTAAAGCCAATCTCTTCTCCTCAGCTAGCTTAGCATCACGCATAGGTTTAAGTCTCAGCTCCTCTGCTCTACGAGCATCTTCTTTTCTCTTCAATCTTCTTTGATGATATGCACCATAAGCAATTCCAGTAAGGAGCAGACTCCAGCGACAAAACTAAAAAGTACATTTAAAAACAGATTGTTTATATATTCTAATGTTTATAAAAAGAGAAATTAACACATTAACTAATTTTATAAGTGTCATTTCTGAGAGTTAAGAGCAAAATTTAATTCGCTAAATAACAGATAACCAAAAATTAATTATTAAACTAATTTCGAACATTTACTTTATGCAGAGTAAAATACTTCAAATTTCTTCAAGGTTAGAAAATTGAGAGGCGACATTGAAAGAAACTCTTTAATAAAAATCAAAGCCATAAGCTACCGTGACAATGTTGTCACTAATTATTTTTTTATATAAATTTATTAATTTTAAATACCTTCACAAACAGTAAATAAATTATGTAATAAAATGAATCTAATTATAAGAGACGGAGAGAACTCAGATAGTCGAGAAGACCGTGTTTTACTACGATGAAATAAAGAGCACAAGAACACGCAGGATTATAGTAATGACAGAACGTTTCAAGAGAAGCTGTTTTACCTTGATGAAAGGAGAAACCCGCAAAGGTTTTGGATTTAACTCGACGGTCGACATCTTGCTAGCGGATAAGGATATCGACGAATGCTTGTGATGTGAAGTGATGTGGTGTTCCATATCGCGATAAAAAGTGCGCGAATTTCGAGAATGCCATTTCGTTCAACAGGTTTGTTTGCAGTTGCATTGTTAAATTTTTTGCATTTAAACTAAGTAAACATATAATTAGATATCGAAGAAGAAAAAGAAAAAATGCACTGTGAAAAAAATAAGCCAAAGACTAATGGTATTTAAGCAATTACAAAATTAAATCTATAAATATAAAAAATATAACCAACATTAACAAAATATTTACAAAAATAATTAATTTTATATTTCTATTATACTCCCCTAAACTGACAAATATTAAACCCAAAATTCAGTGTTACATTTATAATTGCGATATTTTTAATCAGTCGAACTTAATTAGAATTATCGAATTGTTAGAAAATATAATAATATATAATAAAATATTATAATATAATATAATTATTAATAATGGAAATTATTATAATATTATTATTATATTTGCTAACAATTCAATAATTCTAATTAATTGGAACATATGTGTGTGTGTGTGTGTGTGTGTGTGTGTGTGTGTGCGCGCGCGCGCGCGCGCGTGTAGAGAGAGAGAGAGAGAGAGAGAGAGAGAGAGAGAGAGAGAGAGAGAGAGACATAATAATATTAATTGAATAATTTTTAAGTCTATAATATTACTTTATATCTATAATATTAATAATATTATAAATATAAAAAAATTAGTTAGTTGTCTAACAATAAGTTTAACTCTCATTGTTCGCGTAAACTACTAGTCTATGGATCATAAATTTTGTAAGTGCAGATTGCAAAGTTTATATATCAGGCAAATGTTGTACGATATTGATAATTCTGATTCGCTATATTGGATTAAGAAATGGTACAGAAAATCTCAATTTTTTTTCGTTTTTGGCATAAACTCCACCTCATAGACACGTATTAATGCGTGTATTTTAATACTGGAAAGGATTTTCGAATCTCTAAAGCAAGAAAAAAACAATTATTGTTATACAAAAGTTATTGCTTTTAGTCGGTAAAACAGATAATTTTAGAAACCCTTTAAATGTGGGATTGTCCTAGCAAATTACATTCTTGAAATCTTCATCAAATTGTACATGACTTACAGGAAGGTTAAGTTTATTTTTAATTACATTTTTTATTTTTAATTACATAACTTATTCCGTAAAACGCGTATTTTGCGGAATCACAGGAAACTGTATATCAATCATGGAATTTATAGTAATGGAACCGGAATAATCTATCCAAGCAGTGAGTGGAAGGTGTGAGCAACATTTGAGAGATAGAAGATGTATTTCTGTATATATTTCTATCCTGCTCAGTAACTTTTCTTCTTTCTGCGCATGTGCTAAAAGAGGATAGAAAGATATTTCTGTCCTTTAGATCTCACAGCTCGACATCCGTATTTTTCTTCTATCAGTATAAGTTCTATAATATCAATTACTGCATGCAAAGACACCGATGAGATACTATTAAAGACTGACATCCTTACGGGAGTTAGCGTCCTTGTGAATATTAAAGTAATTAAGAGTTAAAAACTAATAATAGATACTATATAGAAAATATTGTACTAATTTTATGATTTATTAGTTTAGTGGACGTATTTATGCATTTAGAATTCAATAATACTCGATTTTTCTTTACAATTATATGATTTTAGTGTTAGTATCATCAAAGTTTGATTATCAACAGAGATGGTAGCTGCAAAGAAAAAATTGTAATTTTTCTGCAACATATAGAATATTATAGCTTTACAAGTATGCATATTTATTTATGGGACATTTATGTAATAAAAAATCATAAATTTAATATAGTATAAATCAAATATTGAGGCCCTTTTTATATCGCCGAAAATTTGTCCAGGGTTGACAATCTTTAATAGTATCTTGTCGCAAAATTATAATATTAATTCTTGACTTTATTTGTAGATGGCGCATAACACATCTAAAAGAATTTTATTGAGGAGTGTCTCATCTCATCTAAATTGTATTCCGTGAATCCCCTCCACGATTGTCTCGAGTAAAAAACGAACCGGTGTTCGGACTTCGGAGTGTTCCGACACCCCGGAATACTTCGCATTGTTTGGAGCGGAGTTCGGAGCTCGCGGCAGTTCTGAGTTCACAGCAGTCAGCAAAATGGCGTCGTTGTGGACGGTGATGTCATTTGTGTTCTCGTTGCTGCTGATACCTTTTATGATGCTACTATTAGCTATCGTATTCCTCGCATCCATCGGCAAATCTCTTGGTGTGCGTAGGCTATACATCAAGCTGCTGCTAGCCCTTTTCGAGGTGAGTTCCTAAATTTCGAAACGAAAGTCTCATTCTTCTGTTAACGAAATAAACCGGCGCGCTCCGAATGGTCGTTTCCTGCGTTACAAACCGTCATTCGGCGATGTCACGCTTTTCTTCGATCGCTTTTCGCCTCGCCTCTCGCCGGAAGGGACCGTTTCCTGGACACATTGATACTTTTTGCGGCACGTGCTGTAGCTTTCGAGAGAAAGCAAATCGGATAACCTTACGCGTCATTGCGTAGTCGCGTCTCGCATAAAGTACGATTGATTGTAAACGTAAAGATTGACGACGATAGATTTTTTCGTGTTAAAATCTCAAAAAATTCTTGCACTTAAATTGAGATAAAAAAACTGTCTTAATTCTTTGGAGTAAAATTTATTCACTCTGTAGAATGAAGTATCCCGGTAAAAATTTTTTCATGCATGAACATGTAAGAATACATACAAATATACATTAACACGCATAAATATAAATATATATAATTATACATGTTTATGAATATTTATGCGTATTTATATATATTTATATATAATTATACATATTCGTGCTTGAAAAATTTTTTATCGAGATTTTATTTTTCAGAGTGAGATTCACTCTGAAAGTTTTACAGAATATATTATTCAAGCTGGAGAGAAAAAAGAAACAAAGATTTGAAATGTAAAACATATAAGCAACACGATTAAGTTTAAGGTGCTTCCACATAATTCGCAAATCGCAAATGTTGATGCAAAATGATAATCACCGCACGCAAGATACACGCAGATGAAAATCAACTGCATGTAATGAAAAAATAAATGCGAATCTTCATTTTGCGTTTGCGAATTATGTAGAGGCATCTTTAATCCTCAAGCACTATATAGCGATTTCATAGCTGACCAGAAAGAAGAATCGGATTTATTTATTTTTTAATTCAGTTCTCAAAAAACAGTGCTCTTTGGTGGATGACAGTGAATTTATAGCGATACGGTTGCAATTATAGCAATTCGGGGATTTTTTGTAGATCGTAAATTAAATTAACGTACGAGACAACTAATCTTTCGTACTTTGTACATGTACTCACTTGTGTCTCATGTGATCGCGACATCAAAGTACACTTGAAACAATGAGAAACGGTGAGAAGCATTTTTATCAACGTTACACGAGCTTGATTTATTTTTAGACTAAATCGGCGCGAAAGGAGTTTCTATCAAATGATTGTTCTCGTTTTTGTACACGTATATTAATATTGGAGTGATAATGACGTGCCTATTTCCACCAATCTACAGATTAAGTTTAATTTTTGTTTAATTTGTCATCTTTTTTTAGTTTTAAGGCCTGGTTCAATGCAATCACATTTTTGTTTTCTCCGTCTGTAATCTGTATTGTTAGTAATTAAATGTCAAAGAAACAATGGTAATTCGATCCCTCGAGTTAAATAATATTTTGTTATTTTTAACTTTTATCTATAAATTAATTTATTTTTGTAATTAGTTTCAATGCAAACATTGTTTATATCAATGTATGCACTTAAATAATAAACTGAATCTGAGGCAAATTGAATATATTTCCTTGAAATTAAATTGAGTTTAATTTTAATTGTTTTAGTCAAATTAACGGTACATTGGGTAGAAGGTGACTTTAGAAATTATTAAAAATAACTCAAATTGAGTATTATGAATTTAATGTGGTCCTTTTGTCCTTTTTATCCAGCCCGAATTATTTTTATTGTTCTAAACTTTCAAAAACATTCAGCATTACATTTTAACATCTTTATTACAATACTAAATAGTTTTTTACTTCAAATGTTAAAATTTGTATTTAATAAAAATTAAAACTTCAGCAAAAATGAGAGTGAAATGAAAGTGAAATTTTGCCAAAAAAGATTCAGATTGCAGATGGAGGTTAATCTCGGTTTAATTTACTGTTTATCTTTTCCTAATTTTTTCTTAGAATTGAAATAAGATAAAAAATAAGTTGAACCGAAATTAAAGTTAATTTTACATTGGTGAAACTGGGCTCAGTAAGAATTAGAAAAAATAAAGAGTAAATTGAATTGAGATTAAAATTAGTCCACATTGGTAGAAATGAACATAAACCGACAAAGTATTCACAATCTTAATGTAGATATTGATAGAATATTGTATGTACAGTTCTTAAATACGGAGAAGAAACGCGGAAGCGTCCCAAACTTTTCATCTGGGATACTTACCGTTCAAAAGTATCGTTTAATTCTAATCAGTATGGGATAATTTTGAATTGAAACGGGATTCATAGATTTAGCGATTGACAAAGTCCTCTTAGATTGTGCGATGATTAAGATTATCCTTGATTTCTGTTTTAAGTTATTCTGCATTTAAATGCGATCCGTTTGACTCTAAGCGCATAACTTAATTAATAACTAAATATTTGTTATTTAGAATGACTTGAACAGAACCTTTGTTGAGATTATTTTTACAGAAAAAAAAAATTTATTCTTTTGCATTATTAATGGTGACAAATTATAGTACGCAAACATCATAAGTATGCATATTTTCTCTTCTAATTATACATGCATATTTAGAATTAATAAAAACTTTGTTTTAGTATTTTATACATGAATATATATATATAACATGTGAGTTCTGAGCGTCTAATAGATTTTTTAAACGTAGAAATTTTTATTACCAA